ATCCTGTAGCAAGGAAGCTGGTAGTGAGACTGGGTCACTATTAACACTTGATCTGCTTCAAGGATCTCCTCTTTCTAATCCTTTCAAAATCTACATCACGGATCTAGACTACCTTTATATTCTCCCAAGTGTTAACTTTTACTGACAAAATCCTGAATTACACTAAGAGTTCTAGCAAAGTTGAAACCCAAAGTAAGTTGCAACCATCTCTATGCAAGTGATCAAATAGTGTAATGACAAAGGAATGGTCACCTATCCTGCCACATGTATGTCCTATACACTCAACAACACACATGTTGGGGAGAACAAGCTATCACTATCTTTTGTGGACAATGTGCTATTCCTTTGGAAGAAACACTAAAGTACCTAAGAATAAATTTTGACAGACAACTTAACTTCACCAGCTACATTAACATAATTTTACTTAAAATCACCCAAAGCATCTATGCACTGAAAGTTGTAGCAAAAACAGAGTTGAAGATCGTAGTTTGTTTATATTGTAACAAAATCTTATTTGCTCTATCCTGGATTGTGCATTGCCTATGATCAGTATGAGTGCTGCACAGCTAGTTAAGATGGAAAAGATAGAACAAATCTGTTGAAATCAGGTTAAAGGATAAACTTCATCCACCCCATGAAACCTTATTACACCTCATAGGCTTCATTTGCATTGCAGAACACAAACAGCACGTACAAACAAAATTATTCTCTGAGAACTTGAAGTGAACAGACTATAAATTCCATCACTGAGCCACTGCCATTTTCATTTCATCATTTTAGCTCCCTTACAGCTCTACAGACACCAGCCAAACAGGGGATTGCCTCAAAAGTATCTCGACAGATAGTAATGAATGGACGGGTGATATACAGCTACCTCTGAGATTATATATCTCCATCAGATCTCAGACTTTTTCTTGGGCAATAGACATTTGATGCAAGTGGGATCTGCAGAAAATAGCCTAGGCAGAAGGTACATAGATTGGGCAGAAGGAGAATCAGAAAAAAGCATATCAGCACCTGTGTAAAGACCATGGCAAACAAACACCTTTCACCATAATCAAAGATGGTACATAAACGGAAATAATAGAGAGTTGGTTAAACATTTGTTGCTTCGTGGAGCAACAAAATCTTGCATAAGGTTGATAGAACATTCAAGCTTCTCACAAGGAGCACACTTTTTATTGACGAAGCTGCAAATAATAAAGGACGTGCTCCACTGGATTGCTGAAAGCAATGAACCTTAAATATACAGTATAAACAACATAATATTAACCACTAACGAAAACAGTAATTTGTATGATTCTGAGTCGTTGGTCATCAGATGAATAACAGAAAGGGAAGAGCTACATGGTAATAATATGTATATATCAGTCTATGCAGGCGTAAAGCTAAATGAAGAAGCTGATAAGCTCGCACAAGGAGCTCCCTTGTCAAATCCAGTATAACTCCATTGACAAATATCGACTTCCTCTGCACTAGTAAAATAAAAGTAGCAACCATAGAAAGTATTCATCAACATTAAGGGGGAATTACACAGCTAAAAACAAAGACCTGTATAATGTAGCTATAAAAATTAAAATATGGAAAATCAATAACATAAAAACAGCAAGAAGGCTACTGCTAATATCAGTAAATGCACTTTCTTCTACTTCCTGTGAAGTAGCTGTTTTTCAAATGAGGGGTCAGTCAGTGTGGTGCAGCCTCTTGGATTGTTACCTATTATTCAACTTAACAAAGTTTCTATCAGGATAACAGTTAGCAATTTCTGAATCTTTTTGTTAGCCATATACCCTTTTACTACATAGCTCTATTCTTGGTAGATCTGATCCAAATTCACCCACAAATGAAAACCTGACAAGAAATAAAATGTTAGTCATTCAAATTTTAAAACACATTCCTACTTGAATATTAGAAGATATTTATAAATGAACCCCAAGAAATCATTTAGTTTTAATGGTTGTTATAGTCTTATAATTATCAATTGAGTGGATTTCACAATCGTCTTAGCTGAAAGTTATATTCTACTTGTATGACAATAAATTATTCCTCATTCTTTTAATACACATTATGAACTTTTAAGAATACATCTTTCACTGAAAAACTTCTGCAGTTTATATCATCTCTCATCTGGATATTCACTCTATTTTCCTAGAGCATTGTCTAGCCTAGGCACTAACATCTCATCAATAGAATAAGGCTTTATCTTGCCCAAATGTTCAACTCAGAGGTTAGCTCCAGATAAAAAATGAATTTCATAATTTAGTAAAAGAGCTGTCTTGAGACAGGATAGGGGTCAAACCAACTGCAAGCAGCTCCTGTTCTCCTGGATGATACCAAAGCCAAGTTACCCTAACAAACTACCTCTCTTTTGAATACTTTTCATAGTTTCCTTCTTGCTACAATACAGATTTTCCATGATCTGCCGATTGTAGCCATTCAAATCCCTCGTTACCTGATACAATTACTCTACCTATTCTTGCAGACATCTCTTCCTATATTTCTCAAATGAAGGATTTTGTTCAATATTTACCAGATGTTTAGGTTCTTTCCTGGACGTCAATAGATTACACAAACAGCCAGTCAATCACTGTTCACCAGTGTTGTACATTCTCATCAAATATGGTAAGGGGTCCTCCCAGTTCATTCCAAGAATTATTAAAGTACTTTGACAAAATGGATTTTTACTATGTAGACTGCTCCCTTAGAAACTCAAAGAAGCTTCCATAATTTTGAAAACAATAGTTTTTCAAAATTAGTACCTTGATTTATAGGAATTTCAGCTACCAACACATCTTACCAATGAATTTTTTAGCAAGTATTAGTATCATCTATGTCCTTGCTCCAGGCTGCACACAGGCTTTGCTCTTTTCATAAAAATGTAGACAATAACCAAGGTATAGATATTTTTCTACTAGGTATCAGATATGCACTACCTGTAGTAAGATAAAAGCAATATAATTCCGTCTTAAATTTCGGTATTTACAGTTCATCGATGTCTTTCGTTATATTAATCCTAGGAATAAATGACTTTATAACACCAAATTTACTCTGTTTGTTTTTTAATTCAACTGCCATTTTGAATGTAACTGTCACCTGATGATGATTCGATATCGTGGTTATTGTGGTTCGAGACGTTGTTATTATTAAAATTAAAACTTGACACTGTAAAAGTTTGTTTATTTGAGAGAAAAGCCACATTGGGCTATCTGTTGTGTTCATCGCGGGAATCTAGCCCCTGGTTTTAGCGTTGTAAGTCCGTAAACTTACTGCTCTCCCATCAGGTGACGTCACTCAAAGCTCGCTGTGGTACGAATAAATAGAAACCATGAAAGAGGAAACTTATATCACAAAAAACGATAAACCAAGGTCTTAATATCCATAACGTTTCGGGCCAGGATGATCTTCACATTATGATTTATATAAATATGGTTAATAACATACCTATGTGCGGTGTGAATATATGACTACCACTCAGCTTTCAGTTACATACTTACACCCCACATAAGTATGTTACTAACCTTTTTTTCTTCTTCTTACTCTTCAGCTTAGGGTACAGGACAGGTAGACTATTCGGCGCCTGTCCTGTGAAAGAGGGTTTTCTTTTGCCCCCCCCCCCCAGCTAATTCACTGGCATTTGCATTCATCGATCCCCGCCAAGTCATTGGATTTATAGATCCCAGTCACTCTGTGACTATATATTTGGACCTTTTGATTTGCATCATCGAAGGTTATCGCCTTTCTTCTGAGCTTTGAAATCAAGATCCCGATCACCGCCTACCGTTTCTACTTTGCTTCCTCTAAGGAAATTGTAGTCGGATAATTGTAACTTGTAATATTAATCACAATTCCCACCTCAGCAATCTTCAATTCTCACTCACGAAAGTCAAATTAAACCACACGAAAGCGGCAAAGGGGAATACCCATATATCTGAACACCCAGGTTGGTGAAAGTTCCATTCCCATAACAACTAAATCCCTGCCATGTTAAACAAAATTGAACAGAAAAATTAAAAACACCAGAAGAAGGACGCTCATTTTCGAAACGATGTTAACATTAAATCATACTGTTACGTCAGCGAGGTCACGTGACTAGTGTCATGCCACTTCTCTCGAACCTTCGTGAAGTATCGGGAGATTACTAGATATAGGGTAGCCTGGTATATATAAGATGGTCACAACGTGACGGGACAATGTGTGTGTAAGTAGTGAGTAATTGATTTGCAGTCAGAGAGTATTGTAGAAGTTCGTTATAGCGTTTGTTTTAGCGCGAATGTTGAAATCAAGTGTATCGTAAAGTTATATTCAGAAAGAATAAACCAGTTTTATTAAGTAAGGACTTGTGTCGCTAAAGTTTCGTCGGAACGAAGTTACGGAAAGTTAATTAACAAACGGAGACGTAACAATACATATATTATTTTTGTGTTATAAGTTTTCCTCTGTTTAGGTTTTGTTATAGTTTTGTCGTATGAAGAATCTCTTCGCCCTTATATTCTGAAACATTTTAATCTTACACAAGTATCATAACATTAAGTTTGCGCTTTTTTTTCCTTTCACTGTTTACATTTATTTCACGTTGTTTATGATGTAAGTGCATGTTCTACCATAATATGTAAACCAAAGTGACACGACTTGCATGTTGTATTATTCCTTTCTACAACCTAAAATAATTGTTTTCTAAAAATAACAATGTTATCCTAGTAATAAAAGATCTTATAACATCAGATTTGTTATATTTCTTTTGTGTTATAAGGTCAATTATTACTAGTATTAAAATGTCCTTTATACACGATTATGTACCACAGAAATAAATAACAATGTTATCCTGTATTTTTATATTCATCTCGTCTGTTATTGTTGAATGAGTGCTACTTCTCACGTAGTCACTGCAACGTTAGAGCAACATGTCTAACCTTGAACATTTGAAAACTATCGATTTCCGCTACTTGCAAGAATTGGTCGCTATATGGCGCTACCACTTGGCATCGTAATATTGTCAAATATAATCAAGCTGTTGCTCAAATCGTCTGTTGTAGAGGAATAGTAAACAAGTATACCGTTACTCAGAATTAGAATATTCTTCACTGATATGCTATTTGAGAATTTTGACGCTCAGTATTACGCAAATCGGAATTTGCGTTAGGGATTTAAGAGCAAAATTTCGTTAATAGTATTGAATTGAATTTATATTTAATTTAGAAAAGACCATTAGAAACACCTTGTAGTTGTACTTGATACAGCGCCTGTGTTACGCAAATTTCAACTGTCTAATTTGTAATCAATATGGAAAGATACAATTCAATGGAAAGCTTACCAGGTTTGTCAAGTTTTGAAAATTGTAACTTTTGAAATTAAGTTAAAAGATGATATATTTATAAATTATATTACAGTTAGTATTAGTTAGGCTATAGACTATAGTATTACTATTAGTATTATTACTAAATACAACTAGTACTAGTAGTTGTACTACTATTACTATTAGTACTAATACAGTGATAGTGATATTGTGGTAATACTAATAGTACTACCTATTATTTTATTAGCCATTACGAGGTTTTAATTTAAATTAAACTTTGACAGATTTTACCTCATTTCATACTGACACAGTAAATTACAATGAAATTGATCATTAACTTGAAATTGATGATTAAATTTAGATGCTTTATTATAATATTTATATACTTAAATAAATCAGCGATATTTTAAAATTATAATTTTTGTTATAAATATAATGATAAAGACAAGTAGAAAACCCAGTAGAAAAGCTATATAATATTTCAAAGACTCTTAAATTTCTTTAATTTAAACTTAGCAGCCAGCACATTAGTATTTAACTCTACTACTACTAGGACTGATAGTGATAAGTATGGTGTCATTAGAGGCTGTCACTGCCCATTATATATTTTCTTCAGAAAATGTTAAGGGATGTACTGTATATTAGTCAACATTGTTTCTGTATATTTCATTTCAAATATAAGAAAGACTTATGAGTGTGACTTTTTTGTGTTGTTTCCATTTGTTGAGGGAAGTCTGGGGTCAAGACATCCACGATAAATCATGATGTTACATAATTTATATATCAATATTGTATGTACATATAAAAAAAATTTAAATAATGATATGGTTTTGAAAACATAATGGAGACATGTTTTTAAATCAACATTACTTGATAACAGTTTGAGGAAATGCTCTTTATCAATATTTGTTATTGTTAGTTACACTGTACACATAAATCTTTTTAAAACTTTGTAAAACTATCAGGAACAAGAATAGTTGTGAGGTTGAAATAAAAAACAAATGAGTAATTAATAAAGTTGATGTATAAATAAGAGGAAAAATAAGTATGCTGCTGTATGTAATAATAAGTCAATTTTATCATGCTTTAGTTGGAAAATACAGACTTTTACAAAAAATGCATCATGTATAACAATTAAAATATAAAGATTGATTTTAATAATATCTTGCGGACCCAAATATATGTATGTATGTAACTGTACAAAAACTTGTAGACTATCTATGATGATCAGGGTGGGAGATATAACTAATTTTGAAATAATGATTTTTGCATTGCTGGATGAAAGGTGTTGTGTTAAAGATCATTGTACTTCAAGATGGTTCACCTTTGATTTTCTTGAAATCTTTCATATATCTAGTATAAATCAGTATATGTAGATAAAAATACATCATATTTTAAATGCACTTATCCCAAGATAGCAGTAATTCAGAAGAAATTCAAATAAAAATGTGTTTATCATTCTTATTATCAAGTTAGGACATTAGCAGTCGATGTGTTGTGTTCGAAGGAAAACGAAATTTGATAATAAACAAGATTACGACACTTATGATATACAACACTGTTTATTGACAAAAAGAGGACATAGATAAACATTTTGGAATTCTATCAGATTCTATCTTCAGTATCTAAAGCAGAATAAAATGAATTTACATAAGTCTTTGGATATTGCTAAAGTTAAAATGCTAAATATAACGATAACTGAACAAATAAAACACAAAACAGTAATCATGAGGAGAAACTACAGCAAGAAAACACAACAAAAAAGTAAAATCAGTAATACGAACATAATAAGAAATGTATGATTTAAATGAAGACTGCATGTTTAGTGTTGGAGAGTGCTGTTTGATGTGGAACGTTTCTATTAATTAATAATTCCAGGTCAGTATTAGACTTGCAGAGGACAGAAAAATTTGATAGCATAGGTTGATGTCCTGTTTCTTCACTATGTTGATGTATAGAGGAAACACAGGGGTCACTTAATTTTTTTTTTACGTTTTGATGGAAATTCCTATATGTTCATAGGCTCTTACTTTTAAATGGCATTTGGTTTTGCCAATATAGGAGGCCTTACAGTCTCCACATGTGTAAAGATAGACAAGCCAGGAACAATAAGGAATGGGGAGGAGATCTTTGGTAGGGAAAAAATTTGTATGTGTGATGTGGATTTAAAAACTAATCTGAAATGCACTTGAGGGTAGTAACGATGAAGTATGCATTTAAGTTTATTTTTTGAAGCTTAAGCTTTGTTTGTCAGTATGGGGAAGACACAAGTATATAGTAAGTTTGGGTACAGTTGGTATCTTAATTGGATTTGTGAGTTTCTTTGTTAGGAAAGAAGTCCAAAGACTTGTGTAAATTCATTTTATTTTGCTTTAGATGGAATCTGAGAGAATTCCGAAACGTTTATACGTGTCCCCTTTTTGCTAATAAACAATGTTGTAT